ACTTGGCAATAAAAAATACCAAAGTGTCGATCACTTCAAGCAAGCGCTTCGCCTGAAATGGGCGAAAATACCGCAGAGCAAATTCCGTGAGCGTGTGACGGTTTCATTTGCCGTTTTAAGGCCATAATTCGTGCCAAAGGTGACCAATTCGAACAAATCTAAACTTATTCTAAAATTTAATGCTATTTCCGAAATTTTTTGCTTTCATTCAAAAATATTTGAAAAAAAAAAAACACATTTTGGCGTTTGACTTTGTTGCAGTCTTTTTTATCTCACCCTGTATATAAGTCCACGTTTCGATATAGACCCATATAACTGAACCTCCAGATATTTTTCACCGGAAATTTCTAATTTGAAGTTCCTGATGAGTACTGCATCATGTGATAGAAAATTGCTCATAAAGGTTCAGGTCTTCGTATAATCACCGCATAACGGTACCTACCTATATTGGATATATTGATAATGTTAATAATATTTTTCACCGGAATTGTTTTAAATTTCGTATTGTAATACATAATGGGTGCTACAGCCTGTGACCGAAAATTGTCCATGCAGGTCCAAGTTTTGGTATAGGCCCCATATAAATGTACCTCTCTATATTCGGAATTTTTATGATTTTGGCGACATTATTCACCGGAATTGTGCATTACAGCCTATTGAACACTACAGCCTATGGTAGGAAAAATTGCTCATACAGGTCCCATATAATGGTACCTCGCTGTATTCTGTATTTTGTTTATTTTAGCGGCATTATTTACCGGAATTGTTTCAAGTTCCGTATTTGAATATCGTAATGGTATATAACAAAAATTACATGTCCTCATATAGGCCTTAATATTACGGTATTCGATCGGCATTTCTATATATATATATATATTTTTTTTTTTTTGAAAATTCCTTTCAAATGGTGGAGGTTATTCAAATTATTAGTCGGCCTAGACGAACTTAAAGCTTTTCCAGTTTTTTGTTCGTATTTAGAACCGAAGTCAGAACAACCATAATTCATAATAACTGAAAAAAGTAAAGAAACAACATTAAAAAATTTGCATATCAATTGTTGTAGGCCGAATGTTTTAAAATCCAATATCCGTTTGGGCTGATATATTACTTATTACTTGAAGTCATCAAAGTTATGAATATCCGGGATACCATTGAATGGGAGCTATATAAGAACGTGGAGTTGTATATACAATTATCTGCCAGAAGAAATCATACCTATGGAGAATTCATAACTTAACATTGAATAAATGTGGCATTAATTGTCTAATTACCGAACATCGGGGATTTACACCACAATTTGGAAGCACATGAACAGTTTTCTGCAAGGATCTTATCTGTGCGTTGGGATCGCAAACTGCCAATTTACGGCAAGTTCGACGAAAAATGTGACTAATACTCCGAAAATACCTTTAATCAGATGGTACTATTAAAACAACAATCTTACTTCGCCTCGAACTTTAATTGTCGTTTATTTCGATAAACGAATTGCTTTAGTTTTTGCTTTAGTTTTAGTATTTCTAATCTCAGGACCCAAAAAAAAAATATATAATCAATAACATTTACAACACAAAAAATACTCATTATTAATGAGCGCCGCCTTATGGTTTAACAATTTTCCACACCAGCCATTACACATAACGACTTTGGCTTGCACTTCAAAAACAACCTCCCCTCTCCATCCTGTTTGATACATCCTTTTTAGACTCAACCATGAGTATCGCTTATAATATCGTATCTTTGCCATTGTTACTTCATTATGGTGCGAGAGAAAAAAAATAGCGAACGAAGCAAGGAACAAGTAACCGTTTATTAAGGAGTCGAAATGTGTAAAATAATGTTTCACTTGAGCAACATCCTAAGCGCACTCGTACGGTTTAATTGAATATGAAAATGAGAAGTGTTTCGGGTACTGGCGGCAAGCAATAGATGAAGGATAGGGTTGAACACGAAGAGAATAGCTCAGTACAGAATGGCTTCTACAAAGGCGCTCACAACACGTTTTTTGCACGTGTGTGCATGTTATATGTTGCACACTAATTTAGCGCGACTTTACCATACATGCAAAGTAAAAAAACAACAACAGCAAACTAAAGAGGCGGAAGTCTTTTACAGCGAGTGCAATGAAATAGTTCACATATTGAGCCTTGAAGTTCTTGGGGAAAATACATTTTATTCTTACATTTTAGTCCCGACGCAGTAACTATATTCTTGGTCAGCATAATATTCTATGACAAATGTCCGTCCGTCTGTGGAAGTCACTCTAGTCTCCGAACCAAAAAAATAGGTTGATGAAATTTAACTCAGATGTGTTATAGGATTTGTTTGTTATTGAAAATGGCCTATATACGTCTACGATTTGGTAAAGCCCCCATATAACGATGGTAGATTTGAGGACTTTCGTTTTTTTTTTGCCCTAAATCCATTTTGGAAGATTTCGCTTTTGAAATTATGTCATAGAGCATTGCCCAGATATTGCCCTTAGCATTTTGACCAGGAACATTTGCCCAATATTTACGCATTCCAGCATGCTCTTTGTTGTTGTGGCCCATTTTAAGCTAAATTTAATCCAATGGTCGTACAAAATGCTAGACTTCTTCCCTATCCTTAACTCTCTTCTCATGCAAAATTCCGTGTTGATTGGTTTCAATTGTGTGATCAGGAAAATATTTCTGTTTATTTACAACCTAAATATTTTGCGATCATCTCCAAAAGCAAGAGACCCCTCTGTATCTCCAAATTTAGACTCATCTATATGATTTGTCAACGAAATCAGCATAAAAAGTCAGAAGTTCGCATTTTGTGTATTTCGGATTTCGCCTGTAAGTTATTTTCAGCGTTTTGGTAGAATGGAAATGTTGGTATTTTTTCACACAAAAGTAGTGGTCCATAATACCCGCTGTCCGAAACACTAACTTCATGCGAGATTTCGTGTCCTCTGGTTTATATTTGGGATCTTTATAACGGCTGCAAAATCAGGAACATTTTTAGTTGTTGGTCCATTTTAACCCTTCGATACATTGCGAACATCTTTAAAAACAATTGGACTACCCCTTCTGAGCCAAAAGCAATAGGCTTCTATTCTGACCATTACCACATCTCCATTTTCACTTTCGTGAAGATCGGGCAATAAATGCGACCTGCAGCGTGATTACAAATTAACATGGACAGACGGACGGATATACATAGCTAGATCGACTCAGTTCGGCGAGATAGGAAGATGCATATATACTTTTCTATGTGGGAAGCCAATATTTCGAGGTGTTACATAATTTTTGGCCCAATCAAACTTATAATACACCCAACACACAGTGTTGTAGGGTATAAAAAGCCAATCAAAATGTGAATAAAATATTTTTCTGATATATGTTTTTTTTTAATTTTTCGAAATTTTTTACATCGCATGAGATTTTATCAATTTGACCTACTACTTTGAAGTGTACACTTGTAACCCTCCATCATACTATAGAGGGTATATTAACGTTGTCATTCCGTTTGTAACTCCCGAAATACTCGTGTCAGACCCTTGATCGGCGTAAAATTCTAAGTCGATTTATCGATGTCCACGCTCAATCTTTCGAACGAATTGAGACAGAAGGCTAAAATTTTGCACACATGTTGATTTTGCCAGTAGGCAGGTTAAGTTCGTAATTGAGCCACGTTGGCATAAAGTCCTCATATAACGGTAACTCTGAAGTTTTGGTATTTTGATGATCGTAGCGATATTTTTACCGCAATTGTTTCAAATTGTGTTTTTAAAGTTCGTAATGTATACTACAGCTCGGAAGTTCGGAATTGGTATCACAATATGACTGAAAATTGCCTATGCAGGTCCACGGTATTTTGATGATATGCCCCGGAATTGTTTTAAATTCCGTATTCGAAGATCGGAATCAGTACTACAAATTGTGAAGCGGTGGAAGTGGGGGAGGGGATATCTTGTATAGAAAAATACATTTACATACAAATACAACAACTTAAAGAGTGGTCGGCGAAAGTAGAATATGCTCGATTCTGAACGAATATTGCTTTCGTTAAATAACAAGGAAAATATGCTCGCTCATACTCGAAAGCATCGTAAAATTTAGGTTGCTCGTTATTTTTCTGCTCCAGAAGCGCACTCGCTCGATTTCGGGTAGGGTTCACTCTTTGTAGAAATTCGAGCGATTTTCAGATGTCTGTAATAATTATGTTAGATCCCACAAAGTATATCTGCGTTTAGTCAGTGACAAATTTTAGTATTGTTTAGATTTGCTTGAACTTCCAATTGAAACTTCGTACAATTCGATGAGCTACAATATCGCAGTAGCTCCAATGCAATGGTACCGAGTTGTTGTGTGTATTTTAGGTATTTTCACAATTTTCTAGAAATTTGCTGCCATTTATATGCATATTATAAATGCCAATATCCTTCGTGCATGTTTAGCTTCTCTCTGTATCCTCTTGTGTCTAAGTATATTCTTACAGATTGGTGGAAAGCAATTAAATTCGCTTTAATTTAGCATATGCTTTGCCCAAGAATCTTTTGTAAACAATCTATATGCCACATTATTCATACTAATTACATTTGTACGAGGAGTTCCCAAACGAACCTACCTACCTACCTACCTACTTACACGTTCTTGTAAACATACAAACTGGCGCACATGTGCACACACATTCATACATCTGCGATATTTATGACACATGGTTATGGATATCTGCTGAATGTGACGCATAAAGCCAACTGAATGCATAACTGTAAAGTTGTTCGAAGCTACTAGCTATGTAGCTTCTTCGTGAAGTGTATCAAGTGGAAGGATTCAACAAATGTTGCATAATTATGTGTTTAATTAATTTTTTGTTCATCCATGTGTCTATGTGAGTTTGAGAGAGAGAGAGAGAAAAAAAAATTGCTCATTGACTCTTTTTGCAAATGTGTGTGCTATGCATATTTCCCCAACAAACCAAAACGCTTTAAAATAAGTTTGTAACAAACTTACTATCATAAGTCTTAAGCTTAGAAAACTGTTATGATTACTGTTATGAAAGGCAATTTAATAATTATAGAATAATGAAAATTGAACCCTTGTGATAATATTACTAGTCAATAGTATGAAACAAGCTAGTAACTTTAATCTTAGAATAAGCTTGTTATTACTATTATGAAAGGCTTGTAAACAATTGCTGAATAAATCAAATTGAACCCTTGCTTTAATATTGCTGGTTTATAGTTTGCAACAAGCATAGAAGTCTAATTATTAACTATGCTTGAAGAAAAATAGTTTTCTTATCATATATAAATTAAACTTATCTTCGTAATAGTTTTATAAACCTTTTAATTTTATTATTTTTTATAGTTTAATTTTTATTTTGTACATTTTTATCAGGTGTATTATTAATATAAGGTATATTACTAACATAAGAAAAAAATTAATTTTTGTTTTTTGTCTTTGGAGTATATTTTTGTTTTGATTCTTGCCTATTTTTCGCGAACTGGAAAAAAGATTTTGTGCTTTTTATATATTCATCCTCGCTCAATCCAATAGAAATTGCTGCATCTATAATATTTGAAAGGAATTAGAAAAGCAAGTAAATATGTAAATTAAGAACACGTGTAAATTACTTACTTCTTATTGCTTTTGCTGAACTGAGGCTGCGTACACTTTTTTTCTCCTCTGTCCCCTTCCAACACATCTTTTGCGCCAGTTCGTCTACTAGTAGCTTTCGCCAACAGTTTTTTGTAAAATTTGGAGTTTTGGCAACCGTTAACAGCTCCTTTCCCTTAGAAGAAGTTTATTATATTATTAGGTTACGGTTAATTTTCCTTTGCTACTTACAAACATATTCAAAAACTTTTTGTCTTCCTGCAATTTTTTTTCGAAATCCATAAACTCGTCTATATTTTTAAAAGGGCTTTAAGGCATCAACAACTCAACAAGCGATTTCTCCTTCTTCAATTCCTTAACTTCATTACGCAGGACATTTATTTCATGACGTAATGAAGTGACTTCATTAGTAAGCCTAATAAACATGGGTTCAATTGCTTTTGAAAAATGTGCCACCATCCCTGAAAAGAATTAGAAAAAATATCGGCAATTGGTGTCCATTATACCATCGAAATATTTCACCGAATATTTACCTTCTAGTGTCACAGGTTGTAGGGGGCCCATATTATTTAATACTGGTTGTAAGGAAGTAAGATTATGCGAGTTGTTGAATATGTTGTTGAAATTTATGTTACTGTCCTCAGTCATAGTGTATAACTGGAAAAAAGCCAAATTCATCATTTTTGTTTCTTAAAGCACAGATTTTAGTAATGTCTTTCAAGCTATGTTGGTAGGATTCTTGTGAAACTGTTAACTTAGTTGTTTGCCAAATATCAAGAAGAGACGATTCCAGTGGATTATGGAACATTGAACTCAAATTCAAAACTTTCTGTCCAATGACTTTACTATCTTGATTGCTTATTGATGACACGCGATATAGATTATTTTGAGCTTTATAATAATTATTAGGGTGGACTACTGAAAAAATGCACATATTTTGGGTTGTGTATTATCCCTATGTGAGATGTTGATACTTTGCTCCACTAGTCGATTATATAGTTGAGCCGATATATTATTTTTTTTCTTTAAAAGCCTTTTCAACATTCCCAGCTTATTTTCAAATTTAAATGCACTAAAAGTTTCACATGATCCATATTGCAAACAATCGCTGGCTAGGTGAGTGAGACAATGAAAATTGTACGTTGAAATACTTTCGTCATATAATTTAGGCAAATACTTCAAAAAATTCTTTAATAATGCGTCAGCGCACTTATTCTTTGATCTACATTGTTCAGGGCTTAACAAAATTCTAATAGCTAAACTCAATTGCAGAAAATGAAAATACCGCTCGTCATCCAAAATTCCTTTTAAGATAAACGGACCAACATACAAAAGAAATGTTCGCAATTCAGTTGCTTTATACCGATCAAACTCATTGAGATCTCTTGTACTTCTTCTAAACTCACGAGGAAGTTGTCCTTTTAAACACAAGAGAAGATTGTTTAATATTGTAATTTTGTCCCTTGAAAGGGATGATGTTGTATTTCTCTTTTTTATCCATGAAGTCATTAAAGTTTTGACAACACCCAGGCAAACCACATGCATATAATCCATGGGAAACGATGTTATTAGGTCTATTGGCAAGTCTTCTATGGCCATGTGATTATGTATTTTGTGATGATTTTTATCTAAGCGTTTTCTAAAATTTTCATCAGTGCGTAATGTGTTATCTTCATATTTGAACACCATGTGGTTGTTTATATGATCACCCTTCTGGTTGCATTTGTGGCAACAACTGTATCCAGTATGAGTTTTTATTCCCAGAACTAGAGACCTTGCCGGCGCATCACATATGAAAGCTCTACAGTTAACTTTATATGTCTTATTATCAAACGAAAAATTGTCCTTCATAAGCTCGGTTAATTCTTTGATAAAGGGACCTAAAAACTCATTAACATCTATTGGCTTACTGTTTCCACTATAAATACCAACTGTATGCACAAAATCAGTGTCATTGACATTAATAAGAACGGGCCAGGCTTGTGCTAATGAACTTTTTGCTACCGGTAATCCATCTATGTTAATATTTAAATCAATAGAAGTCTTTAGATATTTTTTCGTGCATGACAAGAAATCGGTTAGACAATCTTTCAATCCGTAATGTACATAGTTTCCTCCTTGTATTGCAACTATCGGTGCATCGCGCGGTGTTTGTTTTAATGTCCTAGCATCTTTTGGTAAAAAAGGAAAGAATTTTCTTAAAATATTCAGCAAATCATTTGTAGCACTAGTTGTTATTGTGTGTTTGATAGCCCAAGCTGCAATTTCACTCTTTATATCAGCTGAATCTATAAATTCGGCATTGTCGTCCGAACTGGAAAACTCTATTTTATTTAAATTGTCATCACTCGAATAAGAACCACTTTCACTGGCGCCGACTACATCTTCGTTGGAATCGTCTTCTTTACGTTTTTTAGCATTTAACAACAATTCAACAATTTCTTTTGATTCTTTACGAACACTATGTTTTAATTTGTACGGCATATTTAAAATATGACTTAATACGTACCTGTGTCAATTATATAATATAATAATTATTCAATTAAGTTGACTTTTATTTTTACGTTCACTTTTTATTGGGCACTTTTTAATCTTCACTCTTCAAATAAAACTCGGAGAATGAAGTAAATCAGAATATTGCAAAACACTCCTGTTAAAATAACGGGATACAATTTACAAAACATTTGTAAAACTGTTGCAAGCATAAGTCGTTTGCAAACACATTTGCGAAATTGTTGTTCGCACGAAATGTATAACAAATGTTATTGCAAACAGTTACAATGCTACGCGTTTTTAAAACCCTGCTTGGCAAAGACATTTGTAAAATTATAGCGAGCATAAGTCTTTTCCAATCACATTTGCAAAATTAATATTCTGACAAAGTGTATTGCAAGTGTTATTGCAAATATTGTTGCAATGCTAACCGTTTTTGAAGCTCAGTTTGAAAATGTTATTTCGAAAATTCTTATATAAATCTTGCGAACATAAGTCATTTGTAATCGCATTTGCAAATATATTATTCTAGCAAATGTTTTGCAAGTGTTATTGCAAATACAATTACTATTTTAACCGTTTTTAACACACGGTTATAAAAGTATTCATATTTTCTACTTTAACAAACCAATCATAAGTATGCTTATAACAGGTTGTAGAAAATGGCTTATTGTAAGTTTATTTTTGTATTCATTTAAGATGGGTTAATGAAATGGTTTATTGGGTCGACATGATATATGCATGTATGTGTGCTACGTCAATATATATGTGAATGTATGGGAAAACGATGAAAGATCATAAAACTTGGATGGACTAAGTCGAATATATAGCTTTAAAAGATAAAAATAGAAAACGATTATAGTTAAATAATCAAAATTTCTGATTCGAATAATTTGTTCAGTTTTACAAGGGTTGGTATCTAATGCGGGAACTTAACTCCTTTGAAAATGTGGCTAACTCATATATATATATACCGGAAATTGGAAATTACCGCTATATAGGTGAAATAAGAAAACGTGGACTTGCATAGGCAGTGTCCTGCCACTAGATGCCATTACAAACTCCAAATAACAAATCTGAAACACTTCCATTGCCAAATGAGACAAAAATCGACGAAATACCGAATATAGGAAGGTGGAGTTATATCGGAGCTATAGGGCAAATTTACCCCTATAGACACCCTTCTAAACATGTCCACTGAAAAGTGTGGCTAGAACTATCAGAATGATGTTAGAATTATCAGAATGAGGTTACGCCGAATGATGTTAGGGGGAAACTAGGATTTATGTATACCCCAGTACACAGTGGTCCCAAGTCATCAGAAGAATCAAAAACCTGAATACAATAAAATTTAACTTTCTCCTAACACATCAAATTTTAATGCAACAATATTGTTTTACCCTGCACCTTAAAAATTTAAATTTGTCATTCAGTTTGTAACACCTCTAAATATTCGTCACAGAGCCCATATATATATATATATATATATATATATATATATATATATATATATATATATATATATATATATATATATATATATATATATATATATATATATATATATATATATATATATATATATATATATATATATATATATATATATATATATATATATATATATATATATATATATATATATATATATATATATATATATATATATATATATATACTAGCTGAACCCGGTGCGCTTCGCTACCCCTTTTGATTTTATATGCATTCAAAATTTTATTTACGAATATATGTTGGATAAAGAAAAACAAATTTAAAAATTTAAAAAAAAAATATTGCACTACTTTAATGCGTTAATAAACAAAATCATTACAAAAGCAGTAACATGACATGCATACACGAAGGGTTTGTCCTTTGGATTTATTTATTTCATAGCAAATACCAAGCGTGTAGGAAACTGCAATTTTTTTAAGTAGAGTGGCATTCCTATAGCAATTAGTGAATTCGAGATAGCAACATACTTCGCCGTAATAAGCGTATTTCAAATAAATTGTTGTGTTGTTTTTTAGTGTTAGCCTAAGGCGTTGTGGGTCAATGGTTCTTATTAAAATCATATCCCAATCTGATCCGATTTAAATATAATTTAAAAAAAAAAATACTTTTACACCAAACTCCGCCACACCTTTCATATTTAATTGAAATTGGTGCGTCAAATATGTGAAATCGGCCGAGAATATATATATGGGAGCTATATCCAAATCCTAACTAATTTCCAATTAATTTATCACATTTATTATTATAACATAATTCCGCCACACATTCTGAATTTCATTGGAATCGGTCATATATATCGTGTTTGGTGCATAATATGTATGAAATCGGCCGAAATATATATGTTAGCTATATCCAAACCTCAACTGATTTCAATATAATTTGGCAATTTTTGCTGGTGCCAGATTTTGTCTCTCTCGCTTTGGGTGCATCAAATATGTGAAATCGGCTGAGTATATATATGGAGCTATAATCACATCTGAGCGTATTTGAATATAATTTGTCAAATGTGCATCAAATACATGAAATCGGCGGATAATATATATGGGAGCTATATCCAAATCTGAACCGATTTTAATATAATTTGACTAATTTATTTTCTAATCAAAATCCCGTTACATATTCCAAATTTCTTTGGAATCGAACATACATATCGTGTATGGTGCATAAATACATGAAATCGGTCGAAAATATATATGAGAGCTATATCCAAATCTGAACCCATTTTAATATAATTTGACAAATGTATATTTGTTTTAATTTCCGCTACACATTTCAAATTTCATTGAAATTAGAGATACATAGCGTGTTTGGTGCATCAAATACATGAAATCGGTCGAAAATATATATGGGAGCTATATCCAAATCTGAACCGATTTCAATATAATTTGAAAAATTCATTTTTGCTCCCGATTCCGTTACTTATTTTAAATTTCATTAAATTTAGACATACATATCTTGTTTGGTCCACCAAATACATGAAATCGGCCGAAAATGTATATGGGAGCTATATCCAAATCTGATCCGATTTCAATATTATTTGGGAAATAATTTTTTTTAGATAAAATCTATCACACGTTTCAAATTTCATTGAAATTGGGGATACATAGCGTGTTTGGTGCATCAAATGCTTGAAATCGGCCGAAAATATATATGGGAGCTATATCCAAATCTGAACCGATTTCAATATAATTTGACAAATTTATTTTCGGATCAAATCCAGTCACATATTCCAAATTTCATTGGAATCGAACATTCATATTGTGTTTGAGGCATCAAATGAACGAAATCGGTCGAAAATATATATGGGAGCTATATCCAAATCTGAACCGATTACAATATAATTTAGCAAACTTATTTTTGTTCCAAATTCCGTTACACATTCCAAATTTGGAGACTGTATCTTTAACCGATC